AAAAAAAAAAAAACTTGAACGGCCCCGAGGTCTATTGAAATGAAAATTTTGAAGGGATTTCGTTTCCTTTCGTGGTTACATTATACGCAGCGTTATCCACGCAAAAGCAGGTGCTAATCTACCAAAATCTTGATGACTCCCGGTTATTTTGTCGGAAACGGTGCTTTTTGTTCAAGATTATTTTCGTTCAAATAAGCGATGCACCAAAGTAAGATGGCCGCCACGCTGATAATTTTTGAGGTATACAACTGGAGGTTTTCTCCGGCACCCGTCCCCGATATAAAATTGGACAGCATTTTGCAATTTGGAGCTATAAATTCTGGCCTGGTTTAAAAACAACGTATGTGCCATTAGCTTCCCTATGCACATAAGTGTTTGTTCAGGTGAGCCAGAATTTAAACTTCCAAAATCCAAAATGCAGTCCAAATCAACCTCGGAGCTTTCGTTACTAATCCGACAAAATTTTATGCACGTAATATGTAGTGACGGTTAAAAATTTTACGTCACGTACTTACAGACATACGGGGATGAATGCAATATAGGTATATACATTGTTTTAACAATATCACATTTAGATTAATTAAAGAACAAGGGCTCTATGAAGCGGAGGGTCGAAACGATAAAAGTTCACGATAGAAATAATCACGTCTCGATGCCGTAATTACAATTACAGCCAGATTAAGTATTTCAGACTTTCTCATCGTGAGCCTTTCGAGCCATTTTCTATAAGAAACAGCTCCTTTTTTTTTTGCTGTAGTTGAAGTTTGCAAGAAGGTCCATTAGTGATACACATATTTGGACTGATTTCCCGACTATATACGCAACCGCGGTGAATGACGTCATATCGTGTGCTTTGAGAGGTGATTCCTCTTACAATATCTCCGTAATATTGGATGTGAAAAATTCGTACTCGGACGGATAATATAGTTTTATGCTGATAATGCGAGTAGAATCTAAAATCATCGAAACGCGTTTCTGTCACTAGCGCAACCAGAGACGAGAGTCCCTCCACTATCTTGGCAATGGTGGAAGCTTTTTTCGGGACTTCATGGTTCACTTTGTTGACCTACCTACATGGATGATGCACGGAGAAAAAAACTTCGTGCGTGGGACCCGAAGTTTAGGTCATATGGATCTCTGAAGTTTTCAGATTGAGCATCTGAACACTTCAGGTCCAGTTGGTGAGGTTTGGATCACACATCTGAAACTTCAGCTCTTACATCTGAAGTACTTCGGTTTTCACATCCGAAAAACTTCGGTTCTCACGTCCGAAAAACTTCGGTTCTCACATCCGAAAAACTTCGGTTCTCACATCCGAAAAACTTCGGTTCTCACATCTGAAGTTTCAGATGTGTGATCCGAACCTCGACAGCTAAACCTAAAGTGTTCAGATGCTCAATCCGAAAACTTCAGAATACCATATGACCTAAACTCCGGGTCCCACGCACGATGTTTTTTTTCTCCGTGTGGTTTAGAGCGTGTTGGCAGTTTCGTTTCGCAAACAAGCCGAAGTTTGGGGAACTTGTTCGGCTCATGACGTCACTCGAGGCTCATCATCCACCATATACGTAGGTCAACAGCCGAAATTAGGGTGATAACTGCTGCTCCCTTATAAGAGTACAAGAGGAATTGTTGAATCCCCGAAAGTAAAAGCTTCCACCTGTCGCCAAGAGGCCAGTGGAGGGTACCTTGTCTCTGCGAAAGATGGAAGCTATAACTTTCGAGGAATCAACACTTATATTCTTCGTGTACATTGGACAACTATAAGGGAGCAACAAACATCTTACCTGCTAGGTGGATGATGAGCTTAGAGTGACGTCATGAGCCAGACGAGTTTTCCAAACATCGGATCGGTTTCTATGCAAAACGAAACTTCCAACACGTTGTTAACCATCCATCTAGTAGGTAGGTCAACAGTTGAATGTTGAATCCCCGAATGTTAAAGCTTCCACCATTGCCAAGATAACAGTGGAGGGTCTCCTGTCTCCGTTTCCTGGACAGCCAGCAACCCAGTGGCGTGGCGTGAATGATCGATTATCAACATTTTCCCATTTGAGACTGTGGTATGGAATCGATTATTGAGGTGTTCGTTGCGAACACCCTGTTTATCGATCCTTACCCTATGTTTAAATGGTAGACCAATCGATATATCGCAAAGCACGCCTCCGGGAGTCGATTCATTTCCATGGATTTAAATGTAGAGGAAACAATGTTGCCGACTTGCTAATGCAGGTGTCGCAGGCAAATAGTGAAATCAGGCACTTTGTCAAATGCCTGCGCAGATAGTCAAATTTTGACGGTCTACAAAATTTTGTGAATTTATGGCGAAGAGCTCACGATTTTTCACCAGTTTTGGATAAATATCTCATCAAACCTAATAACTCTTTTTGTCTCTCCCTCTTCAATTGCTTCTCATATCATTAAATGTTGAAATTCCGAAAATTCTGTATTTTACGACCTGCTGAAAATATCAAGATCAGTGTCTCTTCGGGAGCTAAAAATTATTTAAAATACTATTGTGTGTGCAAATTTTTACTGAGAATTTTTCTTGCAGGAGCAATGAATTATTTCGTCTAAAATTAGGAAAAGAATCAGAATTTCAATCGAAGTTAGAATATTTGACTATTCGCCTAGACATTTGACAAAATGCCTAGTTTTACTATTCGCTTGCGACATGGGCACTCTCTACAAAGCTGCTCTACGAACATGTTCTACGGAGTTTTGCGCCTCATGTTTGCGCTCACGCTGGGCGAAAAAAAAACACGAGCGGCTCTGAGTTTCACGTACTATGAGGAACAAAAAACGAGGTATACTGCCGTGATAGCGAAGAGAGCCGTAACTGCAAAAATGAAGTTCTGGGAAAACGGGCTCAGAAGCTTGTGACCGGAACATTTTATTGAAAGGAGCCTCCGTTCTTTGTCAAATTGCCACTATTCGTCCGGAAGACTCCTAGAAATCATTTGGGGGATTAAAACTCGACCGATTTTATTTTAAAGTACATGAAAAAGGTAAAATTCAGTTTCGTGTTAGGTTATTGTTAGGCAAGACAGCCGTAAGTGCTATCTTCTGCATGCTTTCGTGGTTGCGTTTCGGACGCACAACAAACACATTTTCAGGTTAGAAATTGGCAGAAGAGGGCGGCACTTTACTGGAAAGCACTGTTTTCATTGGCTCTCATGCACCTACGGCTGTCTTGAAAAAACTATATAGTCATTTTTTGTGCACTTACGGCTTTCTCATACGTCTCGTTTTCATTAAATTAGGATGAATTTTGCTGTTTTCGCTGCCTCAGTAATTTCATCTAAAAGAGTCGAGACGAATTTTGAAGAAAACTCGATTTCGAAAATTTTGCACTTACGGCTCTCTTCGCTATCACGGCAGTATAGCTCCCTTTTCCGACGCTCTTTTTTTCTCAAGGTTCAGGGACGTCGATTTGGAGCAGCGGTCTTAAATATGCAAGGGCGGTGAAGGGTAAGATAAAGGAAAGGACATATTCGGATGCCCTGTGCGTGGAATATTGTAAGGAACAGAATGGATACTTCCTCAATACCAGGAAGGACGAGCAAGGATACGAGCTCGTCAGCACCTTCGGCAGAGCCTACGCCTACGGAGTAACATGTTCTTGCAACGTATCGAACAATTTCAAACAGTTCATCATAAAACACTTCAACGACGAAACGGTGAGGAAACTTACTATTTTAATGGACTCTTTTAGAGTCCCTTTATACTGAGAGTCAAGACAACACCCCTCATGGAGTCACAAACGGGAATAAAGATTACACAAATTGAACGTTTTCCGTAATCTTTGATCGGCTCATTCTTAAATTCCTTTCTCCGTTCCTTCTCTCATTCCGTTTGTTCCTTGTCGAACCCGAAATTCCTCGGTCCTTTCCAGATTATAATCTTTGCAACTGGTGAAAATGTAATCTTTATTCCCGTTTGTGACACTGTGAAGGCCTAAAATCCGGTTAACCGATCAGAAATGGATTNAAAAAAAAAAAAAAAAAAAAAAAAAAAAAAAAAAAAAAAAAAAAAAACCTCTGGCCGTGGAAGCCGTACTTACGGGCTATATAACCATGCATGCATACCGTCCGCGTTCCGGGCTCAGAGGCCGAAAGTTACGGGCGTAGCACCCGCAGCAATCGAAACTACGGCTCAAGCACCCGAACTTTTCGGCCTCGGAGCCCGGAAAGGACGGTATATCTATGTAGCCCAACTTTTTTTTTCAGTGTGTCTTAACATACCACATTCACCGATGAAAAAAATTCTTATATGTTAGAATAACAACGGTACTTCTGTGTAACCCGAATCAAGTCAACCTAGCCAACAAAGTACCTACCGAAGTCGTTATTATTGATTGAAAAACGTATCCAAACATAGTTTTCTGACTCTGAAGGCCCTATCGATGGCAATGTGCCGAGAAGCTTCGACCAAAAATTATAATGGACCACTGGACAAGGTACGAATTTAAGCAATCTGATACATGTTTCATAACCAGAATTTCACGTAAAACACGATTCGCGAAACGAAAACTAATGAAACAAACTCCACACGAAGATATTAACGTTTTTGTTTCACATTGGTTCCGAGGAATTTGAACTGCGCGCTCACAAGAAACTCAAAGCTCTACGTGAGTCAAATCGCGCACAACAACGGTTTCAGCAAGCTTCTCAATCGAGCAATGTTCATTTCCCACCATGTGTTGTTCAAACTATTAGCAATTTGCTATAGCTGAGCCAAAGCGTCAAGATTGAGGTTGTCAGATTTTTATATCGCAGAGACTGTCATGATAACGTTTAGCGCGTGATGTGAATCACGTAGAGCATTGAGTTTTCATGAGCGGGTGGTTTGAATTCACGCATCAAGAATCATTAAATATTTTCGTAAGGAGTTGATTTTGGTAATTTTTGTTGTGCGCATCGTGTTTTACGTGAAATTTTGGTAAAGAAACATGTATCAGACTGCTGAAATTCGGACCTTGTCTAGTGGTCCATTGAGTGAAACAGCTTTTATGTGAGTTCAGGTTTTTCGACGGACGCTACATTTTCATCCAGGGGGACATGCGATATATCGCATCGATTGGTTCCACTTTTCAACCACTCGTCATTTTTGACGAAATTTGAGATCGCAATTCTGTTGTCAGGAGACTAAAGAATGCCCCTACCGATTTTGACAAACGAATTCAACGTAATAAAGGCGTGGTTTTTTAGAGGAAAAATATAGCATTCGATACTGATAACAAAACATATTTTTCCTCTAAAAAAACCACGCCTTCATTACGTTAAATTTGTTTGTCAAAATTGGTACGTGGATTCTTTAGTCTCCTGACAACAGAATTGCGATCTCCAAATTCGAGAAAAATGACGAGCGGTTGAAAAATGGCACCAATCTATGCGATATATCTCGTGTTGTTCTGACACAAAATATGGCGTTCATCGAATCACCTCAGTTCTTGCACATTTTTTAGCACACAGGCTACATCTGCCGTGCCAAGCAAGAACGCCGTAAATCCATCAAGCCCTCGTTTTTTTGGAACTTAACACTTTCTAAAACAAAAACTCTTTTACCCAGGCACCTCAAATTTTCAGGGTAGCCGGCCAGGTTGACCTAGCGGTCAGCGCGCTAGACCAATAGGTCCCGGGTTCAAATCCCGGTGGAGGCAACACATTTTCACGGAAATGACGGGTGGATCTGTAGAAACAGATTCTACTCGGCCTTAATCCCTGAAAATTTGAAAGCCGGAGCATGGATGTCGCTATCGCCCTGTTGTCTGAGGACATTAAATCTCTGTCTACAGTTGGCTTTAGACCACAGGGAAGAGGTATAAGCAATTAAACTTGCAAAAAAAAAAAAAAAANAAAAAAAAAAAAAAAAAAAAAAAAAAAAAAAAAAAAAAACCTCGTTTTTTAGGGACCTTTGTAAATTTTTTAGGGGCCAAATTGACTTTTTGCCTTCATATCACATTTATCATTTAGTGAAAAATTGGACGCAGGATGTTTTAGTTATAGAAATAGTAGCTGTAACTTGGGGGAATTTCGAAAAATCACCAAACAGAAAAATTAGGATTTTATTTTTTTTTTT